TTCAGTAGAAAACTGTATTTCCAGTCCCCATACAACCATTCTGGTTTTCACTTTCAGTATAGCATTCAATAAATTACATGAGATATTAAACATTTTTATTAAAAAATAGGCTTTGTGTGAGATGATTTTTCCCAATTGTAGGCTAATGTAAGTGTTCTAAGCATGTTTCAGGCAGACTAGGCTGAGCTATGATGTTTGGTAGGTTAGGTGTATTAAATGCATTTTCAACAATGTACTTATTGGGGCATAACCCCATCATAAATTGAGAAGCATCTGTACCAACTACACACAATATTATTTTCCTCTAAGATTATGCTTTGGCAGGGACAGGAAGGAGAGGAGGTACACGTGAACTGAAAACCTTGCGATTCTGGTCTTCTGCCCACTTCCCTATATTATGTCTTTCTGCAACCCAAAAGAGCCCTTGTGGATGGGGAGCCTTAAAAAGCTTCAGTCACCTTCCAAGAGAGAACAGTTTGCATTCTTGATTGGCTGATCTTCATGGCCAAGGGCACAGAGGGCAGACACAAGACTCACCTGCTACCACTCCTTGCTCCCACCATGGCAGGGATGCGGCAATACTCTTTCCCAGCAATACTCTTTCCCAGCCGATTGGAACACAGTTCCATAAACTTTTCCCAGAGAACTGTCGAGTCATTCACTTCCAATTCATTTGGTCTGTCATAGCAGATGAACCTAACTTACTATCCTTGGTCCAAATAATTCCCAAATTTAATAATCTTTTTACTAAAGAACATTCCTACTTTTCCAATTTGGGGAGTTTATTGAAATGATATTATAAAACCCTTTTTAATGTTGTGAATCATTCCATGGAACATCTCTAATATCTACGTCAACTAATCACTCTTCTTATTTAGGTTTATAATGTGATTTTTCTCCAGCCTGAAGGCTTAAATTCACAGTTCATTTATGAAATCCTACAACCCTTTCCATCACAAAAGTGGTCAACCTTATAATACCTCAGTTAAGATATGCTGGGCTTGCTGGTCACAGGTCTTACCCCAGCACTGAACACAATGGATCCGTATGAACTAAACTACACACACGTGGAATCTTGCTTGCTCTGTTGGATTCCTTGGAGAAACTATGATTCCCTGCCTTAAGTTTGAAGCAAAAAGTCCAATCTTCTACTTTTCTTTCAGGTTACCAAAAATGTTTCTAGAAATGGATTCTAGAAAATAACTTCTTTCATTTCTCAACCTCAAATCTTCCTTTCAATTACACAAGAAAATATTCTTGGCAGGGATAATATTTGGTGAACTCATCAATTTCAATAAAAAAGTTCAGGGAATAATCATGGAGTTCTATCTTCATACACTAAGAATGCATTTCTCTCCATCTTAATTCAATCCCCATTTCCTGTATAAATGGGTATGTTTTACAGATCTCATTTCTCTCGGTAAGATATACTTGGATTATGTGGCTACTTGATTTAGTAATCATTGACTTCCTTATAGTCTAAGCACTTTATGTCTGAGAACAAAGATGTCTGGAAATCCATGTACCAGGATAATAGTGGCAAAAGGCTTCCCAAGAATGAATAAGGGTTTTTATTTTACATCCTCTCTTTCCGAAGCCATGCTATAAAAATTTATTGTTTTAACAACTCAGCTGAATATATACTTCCACTAGTACTTCTTAATTTTATTTTTTTATTGGCAATATGGGTTTATAAAATAATCTATACAAACTATTTGTGAATATTCTATTTTATGTGATGTCTTGCTTAGTATGTCAGAATTTATTCTTATTTTTCACTCTTCCCCTCCAGGCTGCAGGAAGGGAAAGACAGAGCCCATATTTTCCTAATGGGGCACAGTCATGATAGGTTCAATTGTCAATGATGTCTGGTACCAGAAATGTGAGGAGTCTTCTTTAGAGAGCTCATTAAAGTGGAGCTATTGAAGATATGTAGAAAGGAAAAAAATGTTAATAAGATTAAGTCAACTTAATTCTTTAATTTCACTTATTGAACTGTTGGTGTAAAGAAATTGGGGTCTGACTTGTTAAAGGTTAAGGTGAATAGCAACCAGTATTTCAAGATCTACTATTTCCATATCAATAGTAGAAGATAAGGAAGAACTAGGTACTAGGTAACCTATACCATTAATCATTGAATTATAAAGGATTTCTTTTCTCCTAAATTTCCATTCAGCAATACTAATTTGTGTTTATAAATAAATGTGGCCAGTTTTCTTGTTTGATTCGATGAGCCATATCCTTGAAATTTGACAAAGGGAGAAATAATCCCAGATTTCTTCCAGGAAAGGCTTTAATAACAACAATGAGTTATTCAATTATTCCTCTGGTTTTGGACACAAATTGACCATTTTCCCTTTTAAGATATAACAAAAACATTTCAATTTTTATTAGTTAAATAACACTGCAATGCATATCTTTGCTTATAAAAATCATACTTTGTATGAATTATTTTCTTGACAGTGGAAATTCAAGTCAAAGGTTAGGATATAGAAAAAAAAATCCAAAGCAAAAAGAAGGTCAAGATAATAGTAGATGAGGAAAACAAGCAAGGAAACCCCAGAAAACAAGGTACTGTATTTTTTTAATTACATGAAAACAAGAGAAGAGGAAATTCTGTGAGACTGAAAAGAAGTTAGTAAAGCTGGCTAAAAAATTCTCCTTCTAAAATTAGGTAAATGAAATTCACATAAAAATAAGCAGTAAAAAAGTATGATAAGTTCCATGCTATAAGAAGAAAGGAAATAAGGAACAAAAGAATATTTGTAGAGACAATGCAAGCATGCTGGAAAGACATGTTTGGGAAGAGGAAAAGGAATATATATCTATATGTGCATGTATGTGTGTGTAATTTCTAGCTCTATCCATGAAAACGTCGAGAAACAATGATCAGCTCAGTATCAATAATCATCCACAGCATCCACATTGTGATCCTAAAGACCATTCCCACATTTTTTTTTTTTAAAGGGATTCTTGGAGAATTGACTGGGGACAGAAATGTATGAAATGAGACTGGAACATTTTGACACACCAGATACCAAGAAAGCTATAAAAGACTACTAGGTTCTTGTCAGAGGAACTCAAGAGCCAATTCAAAGAAGCTTTTACTGGCCATGGGTGGGGGAATTTGAGCTTCAATAAGGATCAAAGTTGCAATGGCTAAAACCTATCAAATATGTTTGACCCTATGAGTTCAAAATGACTATCTCTCTATCTCTAACATGAGAATACCAATCATTTATCCTGACTATTCTATATAACCTCTACCCCTGGGTAATCAAATAGCAGATGAAAGGAAATGTCTTTTTATAAAGTTATTATAGCTAATAAGTGAAAACAAAATGACAGACTTAATATATTACGATTGGCAAACTCTGAGGAATTAAAGGATCTAGGCATTGAGCTTCAAAGGCTGCTAACATCAAAAAATGGAAAGACATAATGTGCCTCCTAATAAATGAACACACCTACTCTAACCTTGCCAAATGGGTCAAAATGAATCTAATTGAGACTCTGGACCCACCTGCCAATTTGCAGGAAATATAGAAGAGTATGTTGCACTGAAGCATGAGTATGCACTTAGCAAAAGCCAGACTACGGAAAACTTTAGGTCAAAAATATTAGGTTCTTCAAATAAGAGAATTAGAAGAAAAGGAAAAAGGTGGGCTAAAAGGAAGTCAAAGTTATCAATTTTAAGAAATGAGAAAGCTAAACTCTAGTATCTAGGGATGCAAATGAAGGTAAAACAATACAGCAACAATGCAAGGACATGCATACTGTAAAAGCCAGGAGGGCAGTTAATTTGGGAGGGAAAGAGCTGTGGTTGGTACTGGACATTCTGGGGGCCTTCTGGAGTGGCTGGGTAGTTTTTTTTTCTTGATCTGTGAAGTAGGTACAGGCATCTTGAAAAAGATAATGTCAGAACAAAATTGGCTGATTTGCAAGCAAGAATGAAAATAATAGAGATAATCCATAGATACTGTAACTGTAGGATTGAAAAGAGAACTGCCTCTCAAACCCAAACAACTAAAAATAAAATCAAAGAATTCTTTGAATACAACCTAACTTTACATCTTAAGGAACTAGAAAAAGAAGAGCAGACTACCAGAGTTAGCAGAAGGGAGGAAATAATAAGGATTGGAGTAGATATAAATCAAATGCAGACAAGAAAAACTATAGAAAAATTAATGAAAATGAATTGGTTTTTTGAAAAACAAAACAAAACAGACAAAGCCTTAGCTAGTCTAACTAAGAAAAAAAGAGAGAAATCTCAAGTAAAAAAATCAGAAGTGAACGTCACTGGTTAATTAAAATGCAGTGTTAAGATGAGGATCAAATAAAGAGTATGGTTGTCATGCAGATCATTAACGTTTCTGAATAGATTAAGGTTTCCCCAGTAAATTCTTTTAGTTGGATAAAATGGTTCGAGACAAAGAGACTAAGTGGGTGGCTCTCCCACCAATGCCTGATAAACTACATTAAAGTGGTAAATTGATAAAAAGTAACTGCTTTTATTTTGGGTGTGGGACATGGAACAAGAAAGGTGATTAAAATAAAATAGGTGATACGCTGTCCGCATCTTTGAGAGAGTTTTGTTGTGCACAGAGCCACCAATGGGACTAAAAGACTATGGCTGTCTAAAAGACGGCTTTTCAAGTATCAGCAGCATAGGCACCTGTATTTCTACCAGGAGGAAGCCGGCTGACAAAGCTACTCAGCCCTCAAGGAGGGCATATTCTTCATTGCTGTCTCAAGTGGTGGTCTGGGATAATAATGGAAAAGCAGAAGGACTTCTCAGAATGCTGAGCAGAATTTTTGGGTGCAGAGACCGTGGCCTGGGAAGATGCTCCCAGACAATAGTGTACATCCTACCAGGACGTGAGTCCCCTAGCACATACACTCAGCAGGACTCTGAAATTGTTACTTGCTCTTTCAGGATAAAAGAGTGTTTGGGTGTATTATCCTTTCCCACTGTCTTTGGGAGTGTGGAGGACAGATACCTTGTCTCCAGTTCCTGAGTCTCCGGATCAAGATCTGATGCAGAGAATATTGTGTATCACTCCGAGATCCTGGACTGAGTAGTGGTTGAATGGAAATTCTGGATGTATTCCTTGGGGAGAGGTGGAGTGGGATCTGCACTGAGAAGGGAGAGGGAAATAAATATTTGGCTTTCAGTAGGGAAGGGGCTGAGAAGTCATTGTATTACCAATGATCAGTTCTAGTTTGTGTTTGGTAGGAGAAACTGCATTTCCTAACTCTATCAAGCTCGGGAGTGGTCATGAGATTTACATTAGGCAATGAAATGCGAGTGGAAGTGAGGCGTGTAATGTCTGAGAAGAAGATTTTGAAGTTAATTTCTGCTTTTCCATGTTCTTCCTGGCTGCCCCCTGCTACAGGTACTGAAAATCTTTGAGTAACTCTGTCATAATAGCTTCCTGACTGAAGACATAAGTGATGAAGTTATTTGAAAAGTATTTTGGGGAAAAGATAACACTACTTTCCTCTGGACAGTGGTTTTTTTTTTTTTCCTTTTGGGTGCACTAGCAAAAAGGAGTCCTTTAATTTGATCCAAGACTTGAGATGATCTGTTGACCAAGTTGATCTGAACTTGGTTTGGTCACGTTGTCTTTGCAGCCAACACTTTTCTTGGAGTAAAGGCTTTCAAAACCCAACCCTTGACTGGCTGGGGACTCTCTGACTACTGTCCTGTATCTCTGGGATACTGTCACAAGTATCAGTCCTTCAGCAGCTACTTCCTCATGACAAACACCCCCAGGAAAAAAGAGGTACCAAATGTAGGCCTAAGTCTCTATTCTTTTCAATATTCCTGATTTAGCAATTCCTTACATATTGTTCTTTATTTATTAAAAGGAAGATGATTCTACAATGTATACACATTTCAATACAACATGTTGTACATGATAAATATGTATAATCTTATCAAGTAAAAAATTTTTAAAAATGTTTTTTAAAAAAGGAAGATGTCTTCAGATGGAGCATTGGAATGACTTAGCTGGTCTCACATTACTGCTCACTGAAGTAAAATTTTATTCTCTATATTTTCAGGTTCTCTTGGAGGCATTCACTCTGTTTTTCAGCTACTGACTACATTTGATTTTCTTGATGACCTCATAGGCTTCATTATTTACTACGACAAGACTTTTCTAATCTGTCATGTTTTCTTTTTTCCTCTGGCTGTCTGAAAACTCAAATTTGAGGTTTAGTCACATTGATCCAATTGAGACTTGGTTGATTTTATACTTAATTTTATTGTTCTATATTCTTCCAAGTATCTTGTAATAAGTAGACTTTAAATACAAAGGGGAAAAGACAAGGCAGAAGTAATTCACAGAAAAACACGGGACACAAATAAAAGAAATGGAAATGATTGATCTTATTTTGGGGGAACAGGATTCTAAGTCATACAAATGTAATGAACATGCAAAATATAACTCTGAAATTTCAAGAGGTCACTGAGAATATTCTACACACTACTCAATATAATGTTTATCTTAGTAACTCCCTAATTATATCCATTTCCTCTTAATTTTTTTGAAAGAAAATAGGAAGTTTCTGATAACACTTTATTAATCTATGTATTACCTAAAAGAAATAGCTACTCACTAGCTATTATCATGCAAAAATAGTCTAAGTTTTAGCCTAGATTGCCTACTACTTCTGTAGTCCCTTGTTCCATTTGTCTCTGAAGTCAATGGTTCAATGTCAGCTCCATGATGTTAGTTCCTCCATCTGTTCCAATGACTTTGTAAGCATTTAATTGCCTATATTAAATTCTTAATTCACCCAGAGTGATATCTCTTTCCTGAGTCAAACAATTACTGATATAATCTTTGTTTCATATGCATTTATTTTTATGTTTATTCGAAAGCCTCGATGGAAATCTATTTTATTTTATTTTTGCCTGCCAAGACCAGTATTCTCTTCTTTATGAACCCCCTTCCTATTCTATCCATGTGGTTTGAATGAGTGTTGCCATATTATTACTAATATATACTCTATACCCATGGCCACTTTGAATTTGCCCAGGAATGGTCAACTGACCTAAACTGAATCAAGCAAAGCATTTTCCTGGAATTTCTAACCTTGAATCTTAAGAACAAGTCTCAAGCCTTCTCTATTGGTAAAGCTGTGAGATGCAAGACCTAGAAGCGTCCAGAAGCTATTTTTCCCAACTTTGTGGAGCAAGCTGCTCTGACAGAATACAGCGGACACGCTGAGAGATATGGAGATAATAGGCACACAACCTCTTTTCATTTAAACCTTGATAATCAATAAAATTTTTGCTCTTCTTGAACTTAATATAGGCAATAATTAGAGTTGTGCTTCTATCACTTACAAGCAAAAAAAAAAAAAAAAGTCTTGACTAAAAAATTCAGGCCATGTGAAGCTGCTAGTGGCAATGGTTACTCTGCAGTTGGCCAATATATGAATGCTAGAACTTTAGGTAGACGGGTTTATTAAGTTATAGCAATTACTGAAAGTAGTTAGTAGACACATTAGAGCTGATAGTTTCCATATTGGTCAGACAAAATAGATGCATATTTCTTACTGCTTCTTCCATTTAATCTTTGTTGACAAACAAGGTTGGTGAAGTTTGGATGATTAAATTTAGATGGTTAATACCTATGGCATGGTAAATTATGTCTTACATGACCCTATCTGTCCCAATATCACATGATAGTGATGGATGTAATACAAAAACTAGAAACTAAAATTACATAGCTAAGATGAAAAAGCAAGGTTGATCTTTTCAGGGACCGGAAGTAGAAAAGAAACTACCAGCAGAGGTGAAGGCTGAAGTCACAGTGAGGCTCAGGTTGGGCAGAAGCAGCTGGGAGTTTGGTTCTTAAGGAGAGACAGGGCCTGACAGCCAGGAGCCAGGATGGGACTCCTAATGTTGTCAAAAGACTCTGCAGCACACTGTGCTGCTATCACCTGAGACTTAGGCAGTTGTAAGCCTAAGAAAGGGAAAATATAAAGACAAATCCTCATGGCGAGGTATTGCCTTGGGGCTTTAATGTACATTATCCTGAGGATCACTACATGTTGTGAGCACTAGCAATGCCATCAGTTCCATTTTAGACTGTGGTCTTGGAGGATGCTAGAGGGAGGGAACCACTAGACAGGGTGGGAGGAAATGGAGAAAACAGAGAAGGAAGAAAGAAACATAAACAAACAATGTCATGCTCAATTCTTTAAAGCCAAAATTCCAACACATATATAAATTGCATACTAAGAAAGACTACTACCAAAATCATCAATCAGAATATGAATTCACTCCCTATTAAATTTACATGATGGAACAATGTGACAAAGACTTTAGAGAAACAATAACATAACTTGAACACAATAATCATGACCTCACAGCATAAAGCAAGAAGGCATTGATATTTATGATTTAGAATTTTTAATGAAAGAGAATGGAGATAATGGCTAAGAATAAATATCTGAAAAGATAATAACTGAGAATTTTGAAATTGCAGAAGAGTGCACACAGAAGAGGATACAGGCTCGATAAAGATAAATTCATCCATAGGCACACCATAGTGAAACTATGCAGATCACTAAATAAAAAGTGAAAAATCTTAAGAGTAACCAGAGAGTAAAAACAGATTTCCTGCAAGGGAAAGAGACAGAGCGTGAGGAGAATTCTCATCAGTGAGAACACAGGCTAAATAAACAATGGAATAATAGTCAAAATAAGATAAAAAGTATCAACCTAAAGTTTTATAGCTAGTCAAACTAACATTCAAGAGTGAGACAAAGAAAATACCAAGAGGATTATCCAACCATTGTCATTCACTGAAAGAATTATTAGAGAGTACCAGAGGAAGAGATGTGAGAAACAGAAAACAAAGCTAAACACAGAAATCGATCAAGTATGCCAGCAAGTAACTACTGACCATTCAAATAACCACACATTTTTGTTTAGCTGAAAATTCTTTTAAAAAGTCACAATACTGGGGAGAGGAGGGCATTTTCCAATGAGTCATGAAACTGTTGAGATCCTTGCTGTAATAAGAAGGTGGAGAGAAATAGCAAATGACTATGAAATCTGTTAGAAAAACTTCAAATTAAAGATTATACTGGGTATCTATCTTCTGTTTGCCTCTCTAGATCCAATTTTTCCCTTCTGACTTCTGGGTGGTGTGCCATCAAAAGACCAGAGGGAGGTAGAAGGGTGAGGTCAGGGTACACAGCTCTCTGTCTCCAGTTTTGTTCAGATTCCAGCACCCTTTCTGCCTCTACAGCTCCAGGCAGGTCTGAAGGCTGGTCATAATTCTGCTATACCTCTTCTGGATTCCAGCACTATACTCCATGGTTTATCCACATGCTGTTACCCACATAAATACCTTTATTAAAATCTCCTCAAATAGCTAAGTTAAAATCTGATATCCTGAATGATACAAGTGGTACAAATATATATTATATATAATATAATATAAATATATAATGTATTATATATTATATGTGATACAAGCATATATTATAAATTATAATAAAAATATAATGATAATTACATTTAATTATAATAAAAATGTAACTACAAAATGATAAAATTTTAATGTATGGCTTTTAAGCCAGTAGCAAAAACAGAAAAGAGATTCAACATAGTACTGGAAGACCTAGCTAGAGCAATTAGGCAAGAAAAAGAAATAAACGTCATCCAAATAGGAAAGGGAGAAGTTCAGCTGTCCCTGTTTACAGACTACATGATCTTATATATAGAAAATCCTTCTGTGTAGAAATTGATTCACACAATAATGTGTTGGAATCCCAAAAACAATGCTGTGAGGAAGCAGCCAGTAAAAGAGTGTATACCGAGTTAGTCCATGTATACTGACTTGAGAAAAAGGCAAGACTAATAAAATGGTGGAAGTCAGAACAGTGGTTATCTTTGACAGTGGGTAGTGATTAAAGGAGGGAAAGGAGGGGATTTTTGAATGAAGTTAATGTTCTGTTTCTTGACTGAGGTGCTGGTTGGGAAAATTCATTGCAATTTGATTATAATTTGTGACTTTTTCTGAATGTTTGTTATATTTTAATAAGAAGTTTACTAAAAAAATTTAACCATATACCAAGCCCTAATGGAAGTCTCTCAAACCACAATATTCTC